AGGATAAAGCTCTAGTTTCTCAATAAATTTTTGGTAGTGAATTGTTTGATATTTGTTATGAAGAAATAAGTATAGTCAGACAAAGTTAATTGCTACTTTGCAGCGATCAGAGATTGGATGAGGTAGAATTGAGTAGTGAGAACGAAAGATGGTAAGTAGTTAAGTTTGGTAAAGAGAAGTTCAGTAAATTTAGTAAGTAGATTTTTGAGTGCTGAGATATAAGCATATTGTAGAATATTGAGTTGAGGTGATAGTGATGGGTTAGATTGGCGGAGGAAGTTTGTAAGGAATTCTGGTTTTTTAGCAGTTATTGTTCTCATGACATAAAATTAAAAAAAACCTGGCACCCAGCTTTTAATCTTTTGAAAAAGTTGCATATAAAAATTTTGACTTGATTTTTAAAGACCATCTGGGTAATAAATACGCTTGAACTTTTTTTCTTAAGCTTTAGTAAAATGTTTACCTAGCTGAGTTATGAGAACTAAAAAATTAACATTGCTTGGCCTAAGTTATTGTATTAAATAAAAACCTACACATATTGTGCTTCTGTATATAGCAAAATAGTAATGCAAAGGTCAGATTCTCAAAGTATGATGCAGTATTCAACATCTGGTTTATACTCATCGGTGAGTCAACAATCTGATCTTCATATCATTATTACTGTCGCTATTGTCATCCTTCTCCATTACATAGTCATCCTCTAGCATTCCTATTTCGTCCAGCATTCCAATTTGCTCAATTTTGTTTTGCAGATCACTCTCATCTTGGGAATCAATTTCATTTTGTGAATCCATTTCATTTTGTGAATTCATTTCATTTTGCAGATAACTCTCATCTTGGGAATCTGTTTCATTTTGTGAATCTATTTTATCTTGCGAATCCATTTCATCTTGCGAATCCATTTTATATTGTGAATCCAGTTCATCCTGCGAATCCATTTCATTCTGTGGTTCCTCTTTGTCACTTATATTTGATTCTATATAAAGATATAAACTATAAGATACAAGTGTAAGTTTTCATAATACAGATCAACAAGTTTTTTTGAATAAGGTAAATTTGAGTATTGGAGCA